CTCGGGCACCTAGCCTCGTGAAAAGAGAAGATGAGGAGTTTAAAGTTCAAATACATAATAGCACAACCTCTTGGATGGATGGGATGGCCTCACTGACAGATTAGGTTCGATCAAATTCAAAATCTGGGACTAGCAGGATAGGTTAAATCAATGCAAGAAATCTTGATGATGACGCATTTAGGAGGCGGCGGTTGGTGCAATTTAGTAGGTTTTGACCAACTTCGAGGAATGCGATGATGGGCTGTCTGAATTAGGACAAAGGAGACTTCAACTCGGATTCAATGCGAAGCCCTTCTTCCCTTCGTTTTGCCCCATAAATGCACACGAAAATATTTCTTTAATTCACCACGATCTCACAACGCTATTAATGTCCGGCTCGGGAATCCGCGTTCGCCACCCTCGTGGTCAACCAAATTTATTGGAGCCACATCGCGTATTAAATTTGGCATAGCATAAATTAGGAATCATTCCTGTAGATGTTAGGCAAGAACGGCGGATAATTAGAAAGCCCGACCCAAAAATTTAAGTTAATAGATACAAAGATGCCACATGTATATGTCATGCATATGGACTCCGTTTGTCAAGCGATGCAAGATATTTCAATATCTTTCCTCATCTACAATTTAGATTAGGAATGACGTGTGGAATTTAATCTTGCGAAATAAACTGGGACAGAGCCTAACTCTGATACCATGTTAGAAAGTCCAATGAAAAAACTTAAAATTAATAGGCAGAGGGAGACCAAATGTTTGTACAGAGCATATAAACTCTATAGTCAAGTGAAGCGACGTGGGATATTTCGACGAGACGAAAATTATCCAAAAAGTCTTAAACTCATTGCACTTTTGCCAATTTAGTCCTAAACTTTTTAATTGTGTCAATTAAATCCTAAATCTTTTCACGTTTTGTCAATCGAGTCTATCCAGTCAATTTTGGCGGGAAATCGCTGACGTGGACGCTAGCCGTCCTACGTGGAACGTTTGGAGTTGACGTGAATGCTGACATTTCTACATGGAACAGTCGGCGCTGATGTGAACAATTTTTTAAACTAATATTTTAATATTTTACTAATTTTTTTATTTTTCCTTTTCTTCTCTTTTCCTTCTTTACTTTTTTCTTTTCCTTTTTCCTTTTCTCTTCTTTTCTTCTTTTGTTTTTCTTTTTTTCCCTTTTTCCCTTCGCTGGCGATGGCCGGCAGCCTCGGGCGAGGGCAAACCCTCACTCGATCTAGCGAAAGGCTACCCTTGCTACCTAGCAAGGGCCGCCCTTGCTTGAGGCCGACGGAGGGAAAAATGGAAAAATAAAAAAGACAAAAGAAAAGAAGAGAAAAGGAGAAAAAGAAAAAAAAAAGTAAAGAAGGAAAAGAGAAGAAGGAAAAAATAAAAGGAAAAATAAAAAAAATGAAAAAAATATTAATTTTTAATTAAAAATTATTTACGTCAGCCTTGATCGTGCTACGTAGGACAATCAATGTCTACGTCAGCGATTTCCGACCACAATTGGCCGGATGGACTTAATCAGTAAAATGTGAAAAAATTTATGACTCAATTGGCACAATTAAAAGGTTCATGACTGAATTGACAAAAGTACAATAGGCTTAGCACTTTTTAGACAATTTACCCTTTCGACGAGTTACAACGTTTTTCCGATCAAAATAGTTTGAACATCTGAGATGCGTCGATTACATATATCTAATAGATAAAGGCATGCTTTTGATGTATAATGCTCTAATACGTCCCGTTCACGATTCAAATTCCTAATCATCTCTCTAATCCTTATGGCCAAGTCAAGAGTTCGAGGGGGTGAAGCGAGATTTTCCTCTCTTATACTATCATTACTATCATTATCATTATATAAGGAGACGCTTGGAAGAATCCAAGTTTTCAATGTCCTAATGATGAGAATTCTCTTACCTTTTGGTCGAGTCCCCCCGCTAGTGCCCCGGAAGAAAAGAGAGAAAAAGAGGAGATAGCGGACGGGACAGAAGATGAAATGATTCTCACTCAAATTCTCCAAAAGAGATTTCAATCGATTGCAGAGTGATTTCCGGATCATTCGAAGAAAAAAAGCTCAGCACAATCATCATCCGATTAGGCCCAGTTGGTGCATAATATGCTCGTTAACGGTCCAACATAAACCCCAATCTTGTTCTTGAAGTCATTAATTTAGGGACCTTAATTGATTAATTTCATGTGATGGGCAGTTTATTAATTAATTTCATTTTTCGAGGGGGTCGAATCAATATGCAATTAATACTTTATCGATGCATATATTAATACAAATTACAAACTAATCCAATGTCTAGTAGTAGTAGTAGTAGTAGTTCTCGGGTCAATAGCCTCCCTTGTTCAAATTTTGTGCAGCGTGAGATTATCCTTTCAATTATTACTTCGGCATCATCATATTCGGGCACGATCTCTTCGCTCCGATTCTTTTTTTGAATCCATCAATCATTCGAATCATGTGATGTCTCAAATGATTCGAATAACTATAGTGCTTCGTTAATTATCATCATGGATATTAGCATGGTTTTGATAAGCAATTAAGGGGAAATCACGCCCGAATTAAAAAAAAAAACAATCACATTATTCTCTTGTAATGAATGGCAAATCGTGGATTAAAAAAACAGAAAGAAAGAAAGAAAGAAAGGAACTCCCGTTACGTGATTAAATAGAATTTGAAGACATGTGCACCCAAGTTTAGAGCCTCGGATTTAACCTTGTGGAACTTAAGTACGAGGAAGGAAAGTTGTTGCTTGCAAGTCTCCTGATCTTGGTGCGAACGGCATGCATTCGCCGAGCCGGCCGAGTATTCTCTATCGCAGCTATCGGCTCTATCTTGGTTCGAACTTGTCGACGTACGCGAGAGCGACGAAACATCCGATTCCCGTTATCTACTCAATTTAAATGGGGACCAAGGATCATAGGCTCATCCATTCGCCAATTGCAAAGTCTCTTCTTGTGTTAGATCTTTGACAAAATCGTCAGGTCAGACTAAAGGCATGCAATGTGACTTTTCACATGCTCGAAAACCAAAGGATGAACATGAAAATTGACAATCGACACGATTTCTTTCTATCATGAGAAAGTTTACACCAGATGAATAAACTTGGGATCGACGAAATATTTCATTAATCTTATGGGCTATCTAGAGATTATGGGCAACGTTACACCCGTTAATTTGATGAAAGCGACAACACTTTTGGGCGGAAGATTTCGCAATAATGTCATGTAATCATGCCTTGGAAATTTTTTTTGTCATCGTTTGTAATTACGAGATGGCCCAAAAGAAAAAAAAAACAGAGGAAGGCCCATTAGAATAAAAGTCAAGACTGGGCCTCCCTTGAACATGATTGAGTTGTCATGAACTTTTCTTTCCCCAATCTTTAATCTTTTGCTTTTTGTTCCTCTTCATTATCCTTTTATCTTTTTACTTTGTTCTCGCAAGAAACGTGCCGTGTTCGTCGCCATGGATCGTCCCGATAGACATGTTTTAGTACAAATGCTATGGAGATGGAGTGGGATGGTAGATCTTGCTAGATGAAATGGGCATTTGGATTTCATGTTATGTGCGATCGCGATGAGAAAGATGATGCAAGAAATCAAAGGACTAAACGATAAACCGGCTTAATGACAGTTTTCTGTCCCTGTTTATCTATAAAAAGGCAATATTTCCAAGGGCTTTTTCGGTTTTAAAACTGATACCGATATGGGCCTTCGTGACGGGGACTTGATGAATGGGCCGGATTAGGTCAGGCCCTTCCAGAAAAGAGGCCCAACATAGGCCCGCCCAACTCGTCGGCTTCTACGGGAAAATTTGTTGGGCTGGTCGAGCAGGTCTCGGCCCATGAAGGAAGCCACTTCCTTGGTCCAGCCCGACGGGTCGGGGCGGACCCGGGATCGATGGAGCTTATTCAAAACCTTTCATCTATTTACGAAATTGAATCTAAGACAATCCAAGAGTTAGAACGCAGGATTAGAGGTTTATTGGAGGGGGCACTTAATTATACTACACGTGGCATGCTGACATGGTGCTAATCATTTAGCATCGGAATGTATAGAACTGTGACTGACTTCTAGTTATCCGCTCTCAAACCTATTGGTTTGCTCGGAAAATTTAAACCCGTTGGTTATTAAAATGTTAAAACGAAAAATATTGCCTTTTCTTTTATCCTCTTTCTTCCCTCGTTTCTCTTATTTTTTATCTGTCCATATATAGGAACATTTACATGCTCTTTGAGCATGGCATTTTTTTCATCCAAATCAATCACTTACTATGATACACGATAGTTTTAGAAGAAAATAAAGAAAATGTGTTACGATACCCCATATAGAAAAAAAAGAAAGAAAAGAAGATACGATTAAGAAACGATCACAACATTCTGTACATCGCGATCATTTCGACTGGACAGAAACATCTTGCTGTAGCAAATGTCGTAGCATCACTTTCTAAGGTCGATCTGGGGGACTTTTCACCGTTTTGTTTTTGTCATTATGTCCGTATTGACCGTAATATTGTAATGATCCGGAATCGGACGAAACTTGCACGAGATGCTAAACTTTTGGAATCATCCCATAGAAAGAGCAAACGGAAATGAAGCCAACAAAACTAGGTGCTGTCTCAGTATTTCGAAACCGATTCACGAGATGCTAAACTTTTGGAATCACCCGTAATATTGCTTAACTAGCGGAAAGCAAAGAGAATAAACCCTAGCTTTGGTGGATTTCTGCCAATGGAAATAGGGCATGCTGCAGATTAACATGCAGCTTGTCTCGAGAGGATGAACACCATTCAATATATTTTTATGTACGGACAAGTTAAATGGATCCAAATATTTTTTGTTTGATGTATATAGTTGAGATTGAGAAGATGGTATGTACTCCTTGAAGCACGTGCCTTCGTGGACTCATGGGATACTCCAGTAAAATAATGATGATATCACAAGTTACGCATATTACATACTTAAAGGAACATGGAAAGTATAGCAACGCACTTTGCAATATAGTAGAAGAACTTATTAGGAAAAGATAAAGGTTCCATGCGAGATGGGTCGTAGAGTACACCGTAGTTTGGTTCTCATAGAATTTCTGGTATCATCTAAGCTTGCCCTTTTTTTCCCTAGCCTAAATCACAAATAAGGAACATTTCTCATGCCCTCACACCTCACAATCACACAATCAGAAATCAAGTCTCAACCTAAACACGTTATTCGAACCCTAGAAGTTAAAACCACTAAGCCAAAAATCACAAAGGATTTAAAGTGAAATGACCCAACAACAACTTCAGTTAGTGCAAGAGACACAGCAACAACAACAAGAACAACAATGTAGCGTGATGTGATCATTGATCAGTTCTTGTTAGGCACATTGGAAGTCAGATGGAACGTTCTTGCCACAAGTGTTGATGAGCAAGCTGAGGGAAATGGGGATGTTGAGGTTGATCCCGAGAATGTTGGCCTTAATGGCGGTGCAAAGGCAAACGGCTGCTTCAAGATCAAGAAGGCCCTCCAGGACTGAGCAACAAGGCATGTCTGGTGGTGTTCCGATGACGGCATTGACCGGTCCATTGAGCACTTTGGCGCATACGCCCAGCTTCAGCGCATCTCTTGGGCAACTGGAGCCTCTCGAAGAGAAAGGGTTAGGGATACGGTTAGGGTTCGGCGTCTTCGGCTGAACGCAAGTGTTGCAGCCGCTTGCTAGGGCAAAGAAGAGGAGGTTGAGGCAAAGGAACAAAGCAGCTGATGAGGAAGATATCTTGGAATCCATCTCTCAGCAAGAAAGGAAGAAGTTGGTGACTTGGGGTAATTAATGCGTGTGTTGTTGTTGAGTTGAAGGTAAATGAGGGAGGATGGCGAGTATTTGTAGGGAAACTTTGCGTCAAATCAATAAAATAAAACTATCTAGCGATAAACTCCAAGAGATTGATCAAATCGGTAATTAAGATGATGGGGTTATGTCACAAGGAATAACTCTCTTCAATCGCGGATCAAAAGTGTCTTTGGTCCTATGGTAGAAGTGGATATAAACTAATGACTCATCAACAAAAAAAACATTAAGGTCCGTTTGTTTGGAGAAAAACGGTTTCCAATTCCGATATTTTGACGGCGGAAAACTAGTTAAAATAACTACTCCAGCTTTAGCCTACTGAAATGAGGTAGTCCATTGTTCTATGCTCGATGAAACTCAAGTAGAGCATATACGAACTAGTAGAATAATGGAAATATACATATAACTAGCAGGGTGAGTGCATACCCTGAAATCCTAATGTTTGCACATAATGAACGGTGTGACCATTAAAGGGGGCATATTCAACTTAAAATGGAAACATTAGTAACTACTCATGTTTAATATGTGTTCAAGTCGACACCCGAATCTTTAACCTGACCGGTCGATTTTCCGTGTAATACATAAGACCTAGAGAAATAAGTTAAGATGCCGCAGTTATAAGGGGATCGTAGTGTAACAAGATGATCATATTTGACCCCGATTTCAAGAAAACAAAAGACGCCCGGAATTTGGGTGTTGTCTCGCACGTGACTCAGTACCCACATGAATGCCAAATCACCTCGGTCACTTCTTTTCAAAACCATATATTCATTCAATCTATGTAGACCGATACCATCATAACCATTGAATATGTGCGCTTCAGATAGACTCTTTGTAGCATCTTTCCTGTCTCACTCTCTGATGTTCATCTATTGAAAAACAAGAAGAAACTGTAGCAAGAGTTAAAGAGCGAGAAGGCATGTGAAGCACGGGCTAGCCAGATCTTTGGCTAACTAGTGGCCAGGCAGGAGATTCGGCACCAATTAAGGGAACAGTTGCACAAAATTCTTGTCGACATTCGAATTTCATTGCATTTGATTATTCCTCTGTGGATCACGAGATTGACCAATCGCCATGCTAGGTGCTCCCCGTGAGCTCTTAAACACAGCTTGAAGACACAGACAGCAGTGCATTGAAGATGTGGATAAATTATTATTAGTTTTTTTTTATTTCAGTTTAGCTGCTCTATTTATCCACGTTTGTTTACCGTCCAATTATTGTTCTTTCTGCATCTTGATCTTCCCAAAGTAATCTGACTTTCAATGTAGATACATGCCAATCAACATATTGAGGGTTTTAGGTTTTTTCCTCTTCCAGTATTTGTGATGAAGTGTTTCGAGTGATTTTTAACTTTAGCCTTTGAAATTTGACATTTATCTACTCTTAAAAGCCTCAAGTATTTCAATTCATATAAATTTTTGTATTTGAAGTTGTGCCATAATCTTTTATAAAATGAAAGGGTTGTAAACGATGTTAAGATATAAAGTATATTTCACACCGTTTTCCTTCTCTTTTTTTACCAATTGAAACTTTTAGAATAAATGTTTGCATACTCAACTTTTACTTGTTACCATTGAATGTGTCAACTTTTACTCTTTTCCAACCATTCTTGGGTTTCCTTGTTTTATAAATTCATTTTTATAAGTTCCTTCATCTGACTGTATCAAGTTGACATGCTCGAGGAATCGTCATTCTACCCACATTCGCACACTTAGAATCAGTACCATTGCTACGAAGATGATGAATTACTTGACAGTGAAGATGCGATCAATAAAGTAGTCACTGACTTCAGAACATTCGATCAAAGAGCTGGAGCTTCTTATTACAATGAATGTGCTAACTTTAAAAATGACATGATACACGAAAAATAGTATAATACTTGCTTGCGAACTCTTTTTCCACCTAACTTTGTTGAAACATATTTATAAATTAAAAAAAAACTAGAATTTGAAGTTTGGGAGGGGGAAAATAAAGTATGTCGTTTAAAACATTAATAGTAAACATATTTTAAGCTTAACATGCATACGAAGCGACATGATATGATAATGTAGTGGCCTAACCATGTCTGATAGTGCATCTAGAGAGATTCACCTAGTATATGACTATAAGCTATTATACATATGTCCTTTAGAAACATAGTTGGCAAAAAAATTTCCTAAATCGAAACTATTGCGCTGCATTTCGTGCAAAGATCGATGTGAGAGAGAAAGAAAAAATAACTTTTATTATGTGTGATTTTATTAAGCTACGGCACATAATGTCTTTTTTATTGCGTTCAAATTCTCATTTGACCTAAACAACTATTTAGAAAGTCTACCACATCATTCAGTAAACAGAACCGAAAGTCGATCTAATTCCTACAGTTATTCCGATCGAGCGAAATGCTTGGTCCACACGACGAAAGAGCCGACATATTTGATGCGATGAATACGACAGCTTCATAGTGGCTTTCATTGTCTACCAAAAAGTTTAAGAACCCCTCCCATTATATTTGTCAGATAAAGGTGGCGACGGCAAATCTCACACGAATAACTTATCCAAATTGTGGGGAACCAATATGTACGTAGGGTATAGCATATTCCTTTTGCAAGTTTGCAGCATGGAGGATGCCAAATAGCGGTAGGTTGGCATTGGAATCTCTCCCACATGTTCTCTTCATAAATATTCGTGAAGGTCGTGCGTTCTGTTAAAAGACAAGCAAGGAGTTGATCCCATAATGTCGGCCTAGCGGCTAAAGATCGGGCTCGATTTCTTTGCATCGCCAAAGATAAACAATTTTATGTGTTAATGCGTAGTCTGTAAAGTTATTACAGAATTTCATGGGCTCGGAGCTTACCTACTTAACATAAGCTTCCTCATCTGCGAAGCAAGAGACATGCCAGTACCCCGAGTTCAAACAGTTTTCAAAACAATAAAGCAACACGCATTATCAGAAAACAATGGATGATCAGCCGTCTTCGTCAGCTTGACCTTAGTGAGAGATTAAGCTCTCACCCCATGATCAGAGCAGAACGTCTTACTGTCAAAAATGGAGTTGAAACAGTGGCGCAAGTTCTAATCCATCTGCCGCTTCTCTGTGATAAAGAAGATAAGCATACATGCTCCGCGTGTTTGCGCTCGCATGTGTGTTGTCCGTGTGAATGCATAAAAGGAAAAAGCTTGGCCGAGCTCGTGATGCGACGAATCTTTTTTTGGAATTGTGTCATTTCATGATTTTCCATGCGAAGGGTTGAAAGTGTGGATCCCATCGCATGTTCTTAAGAATGCTCGTGACACCCCATCTCCAAGCAACTTGCATTCGCAACACGCCAAAATATTAAGTAAAAGAAACCAAATCCTCTTGATATCAACTCTGCTAATTACCTTCTATTTCTTTAATTTAACTGTTGCCATAACTATGTACGTATATTTCCTTCTTCTTCCTTTCTGCCCTATCAGCACGAAATTTCATTGACGCGAACACAAAAAGCCAGTTTAATTATCCAGTATGCTAACTAACCCTTCAATACGCATATTGCTTAGATCTTAATAGTCTAAACCAGAAAGATTAATGGTTCTTGAAGTTGTTTCAGTTGTGGAAGTGTAAATAAGCAATTAAAAAGGAGTTATTGAAACGATAATCGTCTCGTCAGCTGAAAGACATGGCCCCAGGAAATGGATCTCCACTGAGCTCGAATATCAATAAATTGAGGGGAAAAGCAATACTTTCAGTTAATCAAAACTATTAACGATTGAGACAAAAGAATGAAAAAAAAAAAAGTTTGGTTGTCATTACCGACAACTTAGTAGTGGGAGACCTTGAAAGTTTGTGCCTGATAAGAGTCAACCCCTTAAATCTTGCATATTGATTGCATATGGGAACTAAATCTTTGCTGTCCTGACTTTAATAACACGGATTAAGATTTGATCATCTGAACCTCATGAACCAAAGACAGTAAAGATAGAGCTATCTATGTACTTCTGGAAAAAGATAGAGCTATCTAGCAGATTAATTAGCTAAGACTGAATAAGTATACTTGCAGTTATTGAACTGATGGATTTTCAATTGGTGGCAACAAAACTTGAGGTCCAAAGCTAAGTAGGGGACATAAACATAGATTTGGTTCGTGCAGCAAAATGTACACATCTCTATGGATGAGTATTGACTATGGACAGCGATTGCTTTTGCGTCGTGTTCTATCCAAACCTGCAAATGATGATATGTACTTTCCATTTTTCTGTTCTTCTAGCAGTTCCGTGACTTGACTGAACCATGACAGGTTTTAGGTGTATTTAACCACGTAATTACAACCTAGCTAAGCCGTAAATTTCCCTAATGTCAAGCTCCCAATCTAGCTCTTACCCATCCGTGTGGACTTTTCTGAAGGCGAACACTTAATTAACATCACAAAAATCCATCAACACATTGTTATTTATCAGCACCAAAAGATAGACCCAGAAATCTTGATGCTAGACAACAAGAATTAGATAGAAGTTGCCAGCCTCCCAGATCACAAACATCCAAAACATCGCCCCCGGTTTCGCTTGCTAGTGCCAGCTAAAATCCCTAGGTCACACATGTGGACTGAATTGTACTATACATCTTAACCCTAATTCAGCAAACTTTTTTGTTCTATTGCCTTGTGCAATTATTCTCTCTCAACATCAACTCAAACCCACCAATCTTCCTCCGCGTAACCCCAATATAAATACCCCACCACCTCTCACAACTCGCACCATCCCACAAACACACAAAACACTCCTCTCCTCTCTCTCGCTTTAGCCACTGAAGCCTCTCTCATCAACCCCTTAGGGTTTCTTTTGTTTTCTTGAAAGAAAGAGGGAGAGAAGATGGCCTCTTCAAAAAGCTCTGCTTCTGTAGCCCTCTTCCTCGCCCTCAACCTCCTCTTCTTTGCCCTAGTCTCCTCCTGTGGGACTTGCCCTAGCCCAAAGCCCAGGCCCAGGCCCAGGCCAACCCCAAGCCCAAGCCCGTCCACGGCTTCATGCCCTAGGGATGCCCTGAAATTGGGGGTGTGCGCTGATGTGCTAGGGAGCCTGCTCAATGTGACTGTGGGCACACCCCCAGTGACCCCTTGTTGCTCTCTCCTCAATGGCCTCGTGGACCTTGAAGCTGCGGTTTGCCTTTGCACTGCCATTAAGGCCAACATTCTGGGCATCAATCTCAATATCCCACTCTCTCTCAGCTTGCTCCTCAATGTTTGCAGCAGGACCGTTCCTCCCGGCTTCCAATGTGCCTAAATTATAAGAAAGACACACCTCTATTTATGCTTATGTTTTGGTTTCAATTGTTGGTTGTAACACATTGTGCTTTTTAGGAAAAGTTTCTGTGCGTGTGTGTGTGTTTGGGGGCCAGTGCAAGTGGTGGCAACTTTTTGTTTCCATGTATTGTTCTTGTTGGGTTTGTGGGGGCCGGTTCCAGAAGGAATAATTTACAGCTTTCATTTATGATGTTTTATGATGTAATTTGATAAGAAGTGGGTAATTATCAGTCTTCCTTCTTTGTAGAAACCTCAATTTCCAACTTCTCTTCATCATCGTTTGAATTAAAAAAAATGTTAAACAATTAAAAAAGCTTATTGATTTTAAGCTAAGTCCATTCCGTGATATGATACTGTCTTCAATGGATGATTACTTTCAAAAAGCCACCTCCACTCAGTTAATGGAGCAAAAAGTTCATATAGTCACCATTTTTTTTTTACCTAAGGTGTCGACCTTTCCCTAAAACCGATGATCATGTTACATGAATCAGATGCTCTAGATCAAGACTTTATGAACAATCCCAAATGCTGTAAGATCAAAATGCGTCAATGAGCTACGAGGCCAACTCTCCTTGGTTCCTTCTTTTTAGTTATATGATGCTATTATAATTGGCATCAGACTTGCCCAGAAAGGTTATTTAGGGGCCTCTTTTCCTTTTGGTTTTATGCACTTTGTATGAGGAATCCAATGCGTCCTGAAATGCTCCATTTCATCATAGACGTGCAGTCATCTCAATGTTGGAACGTGCATGCTGTTTATGGTGAAAACGATAGGCAACCGAGACTAATGGTAATCGGATTAGGATTTTACGCGTCAAGATTCATTCGAACTCAGTTTGGTTCCTGTTTAACTTAACCTTCTAGAAACATGCTATCTGAATTCTAAGATCTTTAGATTCCAAACAAAACCCTATAGATGAGATAAGATGCAAGTCCAAAATGGAATGACCGACCCAAATATGAGATTATTTGTAGTCAATTGTGCACCCATCTATTCCACAAACACGTGTTCCTTAACCACTTAGTAAACTCCATCCCATCAAAAGAAAGGATCTCGTATAACAATTTCACCACTGATGCAACGAAATAGAAGATTAAGTGGAAGTTCGGTATAATTCTTGCTCTTCTATTTTACAAGATTACAGAGAATTTCGAATCCGACACTTTGGATTTTTATAAACACATATACATTAGCATTCAAATTAGTCACCCAAAGTTTTTCATTATACGTGTGCACAAATGCGACTTATTTAGAGGCTTATAATCCGAAAGACACATCCTCCAATTACTTAAGCTTTAATATAATAAGCTACTGTCTAGGTGATGATTCGAATGACTTTAGTGGTCGACGTTAAGGGAAGGTCCACCGTGCCATATCCAAGAGAGTTGGTGACAGCAAGTAAATCTTTTAGTCGAAAGTTAGCGGCCAGGGAAGGGCCCATGCAATATTGAGAAATCATCATGGAAAGAGGACGAGATCGAACACAGTGAATGAGTCCGTGAATGAGAATCTTGTATTAGGCAAACCTGCTTTTCACATACATAGAGAAAAGGTAAAACTATTTCGAAAACTTCCTGTCACATCAACCCTTTAAATTTTTAGATCGGACTCGTAAACGCTTGACCTCCTCTCCACATATCATGTGAAGTTCCATGGGATCGTTCCAACAAATATAAGAGTTTAATCTGTTAGATGAAGACATAATAGATTCGGAAAGTGGGCATGGTTTCAATCCTCACTTTAATAGCTTAAGGTGTCTCTATTGATCTAATCACACAGTTGACGCTATTATTCAAGCAAAGATATTATCGAATGCACAATTTCCAAGCTTCAAAGTAATGGCTTTCCAAGGAAAATGGGAGTTGTTAAACCCTAAATATTCCATGCGTGTGATCGAGGGATATTAGCAATATAGGTTGAGATTAAGTATGGCATTCTCGCATTCACATGCAAAAGTCAAAACCTATCGATTGAAAGGAGCACACACATAATGTTAAAGAGATTAAAAGACCGGTCTTATAGTAATATCATTGGTAGGAATTAGGAATGTAAATAGCATTTGCATGTGTTCTCGGTTGACGTTTATCTCCGTTTTCAACACACAATTTACTAATTTGAAGATCAATATATATTCATATAGATGCACAAGCTACGTGGTTTTATTATATGCCTAGATAATTGTACGACCTAATTTCCCGAAACTTTTGCTTGATCTCTTTTTAATGGTGTTCATCAAGGGGGTCCCTTGTTTGACCCCACCGTTCGCTCCCGTGAACCTCTTTTGGCTTCATTCTCGAACTTTCAGGAAGCTTTTTTATTATTTTATTTTCCCAGCAATGATCGAAACCTACTATCGAATTCCAGAAAATGTGCCACAGTTGTCCTGCGGCTTGCTGTACCACGCGGGATTTTGGAACTTTGCGTGTTCTTGGAACATCAGAAGATGGGCATGCATGTGGGGGGCCACAATCAAGTACTCCTATTTCGATATTGTACGAGTTACGGTGCACGAAAGTGACCATGTGCTGTAGTTGAGGCTTTGTCGTTTGCCTAGGATCTGATCTTGTGTTCACTCCGAGTTCTCGTTTTCTCATCCCCTCGTCGGATTGTGACTTGAGTATAGTGATGCCTTAAACCAACTTCTTACGAAAGTGTAATACTTAAGTATCTTCACGATACTATGGAGAAGTAAGTGAGTTACAAGATGATACGACGGAATCTTATTGGTATTAAAGATGATCGTTTATTTCATATGCAAACTTATGCAATGTCAATCGTGAACCGATTTCGTCATCGTCAGACGATATTAAGTTCGTCTGGAGCTCTTCCGAAATTGGATCACACTGTGGTGAAATTGAAGATGTTGTGTCACTCTTTTCAATGGGTTGCTCTTACCGAATCGATTAATCTATTGAATGTAGCTTCGGTCGTGCTAAATAAAGATCTCACATTGACATGTTGATGTAAATGTATGAACCCCTTTTTTTTTTAGCTCGTTAAGTCGTGTCGCAATTTTTTCGATAATTAAAGTGACGAAAAGAGAAGGATACAACCCACCCATGGGTAGCTAAGTTGGTTAGGGCGTACTTGAGATTGTGTGGTTAGGCGCACTGGTCCCAGGTTCGATTCCCCAACTGAGCACTTGTGATTTAAGTGGGGGGCCATGGTGGTGGGTTGCTGTGCTAGTCTCCCCTGAGGAATAGTCGAGGTGCGCGCAAGCTGTCCCGGACACCTCGGTTACCAAAAAAAAAGAGAAGGATACACGTATAAGTGTACATATTGGGGGAAGCCCACACGAGCCCAACACGAAATAGGCCAAGATTTAGAGGAGACTTCGAGAGATTATCATTGCGACAAGCCTAACTTTGATATGATAAAATTGAGTCTAGTACTTAGGGCACTAATTATGAATAAAACTTCTCTGGCCTTCTCCAACCCGCCAACGAGTCTAGGCAATCTAATTCGTTTATAAGATTGGCCCTTCTCATTACGGTTTGAGAGAACAAGTGGACGCAATGAATTATAGTGTATACCCGATATTGCATATATATATATACACACACTTGTGCGAGCAGCAATTGAGGATATCATGCAGGTATACATTGCTTCACCAACCTAGAAAGAATTGCATAAAAGGTCTCAATTTCTTTGTTAGAGCCCAGCGAAATGCACTGTGATCTTACTTCGGTGTAGCATGAGATATCAAACTAGTGTATCAGTTCATTATTTGAGGGCCTAAAATCGACTCGTCATTTCTTACATTTATCTTTCCTCGTGGTGCGGCCGAGTAGAAACATGCATCCATATATGCATGCATGCATGAACGCATCCAAAGACACCAACGCAAAGTAAACATTGTTTTGGACATGCGTCCCCATATTCTGAGACCCTGCTGCGATTGTCCCGAAGCTTAGGCGCATCGAGCTAGGCATGAGATGACAGATACGAAAAAAAGAAAATGAAAATGACGATAGAAGTGTTTGGGTCCTGAGTAAGTGCGAACAAGAATGTTTTAGCTCGAGACTAGAAGTTATTACTACACTAGGGAAACATCAAAACAAATAAGTGAACCGAGCACATGTACCCTCAATCTTCAAAAGCAAATGGAGGAACTAGAAGATTTCACCCGAACCCTAAAAAGATGAATTAGGACTAGCCGGTAGCCAACCGGCATTTATGACCCTAAACATCCACTAAGCACTACAACAACACACCCCTTCTAAGTCCTAAAGACTCCATCGCTACTTGATTTGTATCTGGGGTACTTACGCTGAACTTATCTAAAGAGGAGGGCATACAAAACCAGGAGGAGGGGTTACGCCACAAGTGACTAGGACTTGAAGAGCGAGAGGAATGAATATGTTGAGGTTGAGTAGCTTCAGCCTTATGGCGGTGCAGAGGCAGATCGCCGCCTCGAGCTCCAGCAGCCCTTGGAGCACGGGGCAGCACACGTTCTCGACCGGGTTCCCGATCCCAATGTGGACCAACCCGCCCAGCACGTCCAAGCAAAGCCCTAGCTTGAGAGCGTTTATAGGGCATGTTGTGGGCGTGGTCGGCGGGCTCGGGACACCACCGCCTTTGCCGCCACCGCCGGGAGGACCACCGCCATAAGGAGGGTAGGGCGAAGATGGCGGTGTTGACGGAGGGTTTGTTATTGGAGGTGACATGCCAGGAGGGTTTGTGATTGGAGGAATGATGCCGCCGGGAGGGTTAGTAATAGGAGGAAGGAGGCCGGGAGGGTTAGTGATAGGAGGTGGATTCACTATTGGTGGCAGAACAATGGGCGGATGTGGAGTCGGCACTCTTGGAGTACAACCGCCGCCGCAGCCGCCTCCGCCTCTGCTCCCTCCGCCTCCGCCTCCACTCCTGCCACCACCGCCTCTGCCGCCATGGTGAGGCGGGCCAGGATGGGGGTGAGTGCCGGGCCGGCGGGGGACCGTCGGGGTCGTTGGGCCATGGTACGGCGGGTGCGGGGGCGCGCAATAGCCACAGGCGTGTATCGGTGGCAGGGACAACAGCATGAGGATCATGAAGATGAAGAAGGTGGCCATGATCATTGAGCCCATGTTTTTTTTTTCCTTGGGTTCCTCGGTTCCTGGTTAATCCTTCTTGGGTTTGTCGGCAAGTTTTGATCGTGCCCAGGACTTATATATAGGTGATAATCGCGAACTATATGAGCAACCCGTGACTGTTCTCTTCTCTCATGACACATGGAAGATAAATTGGAGAGCTGATCTTTAGATATACACTCAAGAAAAGGAAGCATGAAATTGATAATTCCACACCAAAGTTGGTGATTTTTGGACTGTTTTTCCAGTGAATTGCGAACTCCAAAGCTCGATCCGTGAATGTTTCGCTGTGATCCACGAACGTGTTCCACTTCAGAGCGAGTCTCACTTCCCCATACAACAGTAAATTTTCAGGCCACCCTTCTTTCTGTTCGCTTTTGTTTACCCTCCCTTGATTTTTCTCATTCTTCTCATTCTCTTGCTAATTCGGGGTCTCTCTCCCTCCCTCTCTCTCTTTACGTGTAAGTGAGAATTGAGATTTGCATGGTTTTGAGCAGTATCACAGAAATTACAGCGAGGCATGGGCTTTCACCTTCTCTTGTCCTTCGCTCCTGTGATTTCTGCTGGTAATTGGTACGATTGCGTCGCGCTTCACGATGCAAACCCGTGAGCCTCTCGTTTTCCTATTATGTCTTTTGATGCCTAATAAAAAGGAGTCGAATAAAATTTGCACAATTTGATCTTCGTTGGTACATTGGCACAATACAATGTTGGCCACGAAAATAGCACGCTCAGGATCACCATAATTGGAAATCGAAACACGTTAATGAAGAAATTATCGATTCTCGTACCTGATTTGGAATCCATCGAACTTGATGCGGAACTTACGACGGTTTCCGAACACGAACTCAAGTGCTTCTCCCCTATATCCTTGCTAGAACACTGGCCTAATGAGATTGCCACTCACGAGAAGAAAATTCTTTCTAGATCCGTATGTGAGTCAGATTGTGCATCATCAGGTTAGGAGAGGGACTTGAGCGCTATTTATAGAGTCTTTGATCACAAGCCCTCTCATTACGGGCCGGGCCGTACTCGGCCCACACTAGCCAGTCCCATATTAGACTTATTAAGAATCCATATATCTTACCTTTATTAGACCAAACTAATTCAGTTAATTTCAATTAATGAAGCCCACATTAGGAAATTCTTACATTTTCCTACTTGGGCGATATTAATTGAAACAGAACTGTGTGCGCACCCTTACATTGGTCTAGAGATTATTCTTAATAGTCAATCCGATCCCATAAAGTCTCGAACACCGAATCATGGCGGTAACTGCATGTACTCACGCAGAGCCTTCCATGGTCACGAGTGATTTCAACTTTACTGATATGGATTCAATATGGTAGTGTGTCAAATGGACAATACCTCATAATGAGTGATACTTCATGTGTTGTCCATTTTGTTAGTCCAAATTCTCTCTCCTTGAGTGTCACAAAACCTAGTGTGTCACCAGAGAATATTCTTCACGGTTCCAACGAACCTGCATATGTCTTACCTTGATAGTTAACTGTACTTTATGTATAACAAGACATATCGTTAAGGCTAATACCAAGAATGCCCCATAGCCTGTATTCAAGGTTTACACAATGCCTCGAGATTTTCATCAAATATGTGTACTCAACTTGATAAATTTACATTCACAAATACCTCATTGAATGCAAAAGAGTTGATACATATTCAAATATTACAAAATATAACAAAATCAGATACAAACTCCATAAGAGCAACATAAAACTAAACAGCTCCCACTAATTAACAGTATCTCATGATACTCCTAAGCCCATGTTCATGACATGTCAATCAAATACACAAGGGCGAAGGCCTTTAGTTAGCGAATTTGCAATCATATCATCTGTTGAAATGTGCTCTACTACAATGTCACCATTCTGAACTTTTTCTTTTATAGTCAGGTACTTGACCTCCATATGCTTAGACCCCTTGAGACCTCTGCTGTTGTTAACAAACAACACTGCAGAGTTATTATCACAATACAACTGTATGGGCCTATCCACAAAATCAAATACGGTCAATTCCTTAATGGGGTTCCAGAGCCAAATTGCCTAAGTAGCGGTCGAAAAGCATGTTACAAACTCCGCTTGCATGGTAGAGGATGTCATTGATTTCTGTTTCTCACTTTTCCATGATACTGCACCTCCTGCTAACTTAAAGATGTAACATGTTGTCGACTTCTTTTCATCCTGACAGCCAGTAAAGTCTGAATCCGAATACCCAACCAGCTATAGGTCCTGAACATGTTTGTAAATCAGCATATAGTCTTTTGTCCTCGTTAAATACCTCAAAACCTTCTTGGCAGTAACCCAATGATCGTGTCCTGGATTTGACTGATATCTGCCTAGAAGTCCTATTGCAAAAGCAATATCTGGTCTAGTACATACTTGAGCATACATAATACTCCCAAGTGCACTAGCATAAGGTACATTCTTCATTTGGGCTTTCTCAAAATCTAAATGAGGACATTGTGATAGACTCAACTTATCACCCTTACTGACAGGAGCAATTCCTGGCTTGCATTGCTGCATGTTGAATCTTTCTAAGATACGATCAACATATGCCCTCTGAGATAAACCCAATAGTCGGCGAGAACGATTCCTATGAATCTTAATGCCAAGGACAAAAGACGCCTCACCAAGGTCCTTCATATCAAAGTTCTTTGACAACATCCGCTTTGTCTCATGTAGTAAACCAAGGTCACTGCTCGCAAGCAGAATTTCATCCACATAGAGTATAAGGAAAACGAATTTCCTCCCACTGACCTTGCAGTATATACATTGATCTACTTTGTTCTCAACAAAACCAAATAAAGCGACAACACTATGAAACTTCAAGTACCATTGTCTAGAAGCTTGCTTGAGACCATAAATAGACTTTTTCAGTCTACATACAAGCGTACCTGAATCATTTGCCGCAAAGCCTTCGAGTTGCATCATATAGACTTCTTCATTAAGGTCTCCATTGAGAAAGGCAGTTTTAACATCCATCTGATGTAACTCCATATTGAAATGAGCTACCAATGCCATGATCACTCTGAAAGAATCTTTAGAAGAGACTGGAGAAAAAGTTGCTTCATAGTCTACTCCTTCTCTCTGAGTGAAACCCTTAGCTACCAGTCTGGCTTTAAACTTCTCAATCTTTCCTTTGGAGTCCCTTTTAGTCTTATACACCCATTTGCAGCCAATGGGTCTATGACCTTCAGGTAATTCAACAAGTTCCCAAACACCATTATGCTTCATAGACTGCATTTCATCTCTCATTGCATCCAACAACAGTTCCGACTGAGGACAAGAAACAGCTTTCGCATAAGTCACTGGATCAGCCACATAACCGATATCGTAGTCTTGCTCTCCTATATAGACTAAATAGTCCGGTGGTATAGCTGATCGTCTCTCCCTAATGGATCTCCTTACTGGAGTAACAACAGCCTCATCCTGCACCTGAGAGCCTTGAAGAACTTCATTAGGAGCTGTCTCAACAACAGGATCCTGAGTCTCAACAGGTTCAGTCTGTGGTGTGTGAGTCTCCACAATTATCTGTATGGGAGGAGATAAAGATACAACATTACCCACCGTACTATTATCCTCAATAGTCTGTGAGCAGCTACTTTCTTCGGCCACATTAAACTCCAGAAACTTGGTTGTCTGTGATTCCACAATTCTTGTGTCTCCATTGGGATTATAGAACCGATATCTCTTCGAATGATCCAGGTAAGATACAAAGTAACACCGAGTGGTTCTGGAGTCCAACTTACTTAATGTTGGATTATATAACTTCACTTCTGTAGGACATCCCCAAACCTTAAGATGGTTTAAGCTAGGTTTACGTCCAGTCCATAACTCAAAAGGAGTCAATGGAACAGCTTTAGTAGGTACATGATTCAGAATGTACAAAGCTGTTTTCAAAGCTTCACCCCACAGAAAATCAGGTAAATTTGTCCTACTAATCATACTCCTCACCATTTCCATAAGGGTGCGATTGCGCCTTTCGGCTACACCATTTTGCTCAGGACTCCCAGGCATAGTAAATTGAGCCACTATCCCAGAATCCTCTAAGTATTTCGCAAATGGCCCCTTAAGCTGTCCGGCATCGCCATGCTTGCTATAATACTCTCCACCTCGATCAGATCTAACAACCTTTATGACATTTCCCAACTGTTTCTCGACTTCAGTCCGAAAAATCTTGAACTTGTCAAGAGACTCAGACTTTTTTTTAATCAAGTACAAATAGCCATATCGAGAATAATCATTAACAAATGTGATGAAATAAAAATTTCTATACAAGGTTGTCGTATATGGTCCACTTATGTCAGTGTGAATGACCTCCAACAGGTCAGAACTTCGGACTGCAGTTTTCTTCCTTATCTTGGTCATTTTACCTCTATAACAGTCTACGCATGTCTTTAGGTCATCTTTAAGAGCAAGCAGGATATTAGTCTTTATCAGCCTTTCTACTCTATCCTTTAGAGATATGACCAAGCAGTTTATGCCATAACGCATAAGACTGTTTCTTAGGTAGTGGTCTCTTGGAAACAACCTTTTCAGCCGTATAAGCGACGTATATGTTATTGGGAGACAAACACAATCTGTACAATCCGTTGGACATATTACAGCACCCAACCTTATTTGAATTAAGAAACAAAGAAATAACATTGTTCTTGATTTCAAAAGAGTAACCATACATGTCCAAACACGATACGGAAACTAAGTTCCGTCTAAAAGAAGGTACATAAAAAGTGTCTTTCAACATTAATCTAAAACCAGAGTCTAGAATCAAGATAACATCTCCCACAAACACAACATCGGCTTTCTCGTTGTTTCCCATTGTGAGTCTTGACTCATCCTGTTAAATATGTCTTTGAATTTTATGTACTCGGTCCGGTTTATCACCCGACCCGACATATTTTTGTGCGACCCGAAAGTGGAGAAAAAATTGAGATTTGATTCATGACGCGGAGGGTTGGGCCGATAGGCCCAACTCACCCCCGAGGAAATTTTTTGGGGAGCCCTATTTATACCGCGGCTAGGTTTTCTCATTGATACTTAGAGAGAATTTTGTTTTTAGAGAGATTTGGTGAGCCATGAGGTTTTGTTAAGTCGTCGTTTCGACTTCTGAAAACTGTATTCTCTTTGATTATAGTGGAATCTTGTCTTGCCTCGCCCGTGGACGTAGATCACCTTATGATCGAACCACGTAAATCCCTGTATTCTGTATTTGTTTTTCCGCGTCTGTTTTCAACAAGTGGTATCAGAGCAGCGTTCGATTCTAAGGTTTTTTGAGATGGCATCTTTAAAGTTTCATATCTCA